TAGAAACACTTCCTGACCTGCAACAGAGAAAACACAGTTCATATACAGTGGGGAAAAAAAGTATTTAGTCAGCCACCAATTGTGCAAGTTCTCCCACTTAAAAAGATGAGAGAGGCCTGTAATTTTCATCATAGGTACACGTCAACTATGACAGACAAATTGAGGAAAAAAAATCCAGAAAATCACATTGTAGGATTTTTAATGAATTTATTTGCAAATTATGGTGGAAAATAAGTATTTGGTCACCTACAAACAAGCAAGATTTCTGGCTCTCACAGACCTGTAACTTCTTCTTTAAGAGGCTCCTCTGTCCTCCACTCGTTACCTGTATTAATGGCACCTGTTTGAACTTGTTATGAGTATAAAAGACACCTGTCCACAACCTCAAACAGTCACACTCCAAACTCCACTATGGCCAAGACCAAAGAGCTGTCAAAGGACACCAGAAACAAAATTGTAGACCTGCACCAGGCTGGGAAGACTGAATCTGCAATAGGTAAGCAGCTTGGTTTGAAGAAATCAACTGTGGGAGCAATTATTAGGAAATGGAATACATACAAGACCACTGATAATCTCCCTCGATCTGGGGCTCCACGCAAGATCTCACCCAGTGGGGTCAAAATGATCACAAGAACGGTGAGCAAAAATCCCAGAACCACACGGGGGGACCTAGTGAATGACCTGCAGAGAGCTGGGACCAAAGTAACAAAGCCTACCATCAGTAACACACTACGCCGCCAGGGACTCAAATCCTGCAGTGCAGACGTGTCCCCCTGCTTAAGCCAGTACATGTCCAGGCCCGTCTGAAGTTTGCTAGAGTGCATTTGTATGATCCAGAAGAGGATTGGGAGAATGTCATATGGTCAGATGAAACCAAAATAGAACTTTTTGGTAAAAACTCAACTCGTCGTGTTTGGAGGACAAAGAATGCTGAGTTGCATCCAAAGAACACCATACCTACTGTGAAGCATGGGGGTGGAAACATCATGCTTTGGGGCTGTTTTTCTGCAAAGGGACCAGGACGACTGATCCGTGTAAAGGAAAGAATGAATGGGGCCATGTATCGGGAGATTTTGAGTGATAACCTCCTTCCATCAGCAAGGGCATTGAAGATGAAACGTGGCTGGGTCTTTCAGCATGACAATGATCCCAAACACACCGCCCGGGCAACGAAGGAGTGGCTTCGTAAGAAGCATTTCAAGGTCCTGGAGTGGCCTAGCCAGTCTCCAGATCTCAACCCCATAGAAAATCTTTGGAGGGAGTTGAAAGTCCGTGTTGCCCAGCAACAGCCCCAAAACATCACTGCTCTAGAGGAGATCTGCATGGAGGAATGGGCCAAAATACCAGCAACAGTGTGTGAAAACCTTGTGAAGACTTACAGAAAACGTTTGACCTGTGTCATTGCCAACAAAGGGTATATAACAAAGTATTGAGAAACTTTTGTTATTGACCAAATACTTATTTTCCACCATAATTTGCAAATAAATTCATTAAAAATCCTACAATGTGATTTTCTGGATTTTTTTTCCTCATTTTGTCTGTCATAGTTGACGTGTACCTATGATGAAAATTACAGGCCTCTCTCATATTTTTAAGTGGGAGAACTTGCACAATTGGTGGCTGACTAAATACTTTTTTTCCCCACTGTATTCAGTATAAAATACCATTTAGCTAAATGAAAACAATTTACAATAGGCTACAGTCTGTGTTGAGTGCATACATGTGACCCCAGCAGGAATCGAACCACACGACCCTGGTGTTGTTAGTTTACCAACTGAGTCACACAGAACTATATGTGGACCAACAGCTGACTTGCTGACTACAGTGATGGCGTTGGTGCTGGTTACTGTACTGATAACACAAAGAGAGAGCCTTCTGCAGTGTTTTCAAAATACGCTTTAACGTTGAAGTGTGCTACTGACTGAGCATAACATGAGTCCGCTGAATGTGTTCTAAACCAATGATTTCAGATAATATATATTTGTCATTCAGCAGACAATTTTTATCAACTTCCCTGGTCTATTTCCTAGTGTACGTCCCTGGTCCACTTCCCTGGTCTACTCCCTGGTGTACTTGTTGGTCAACTCACTTCCTTGCTACAATATGACTGATAGATGTTGTTATCATTGTTATCAACCAGATACAAATGTGACTGTAACAGTCAACGGCGGGTGACATTGGAGTGTGCTTGTCTCACACCTCAGCCCCTGGCATCCCGTACCCTGTGTTAGTCAAAGTGACCAATGTGAACACAGTCAGGGAGTAAAATTTGATAACGACACTGTGGAAATTAAACTAATAATTACAATTCAATGTATGCGCACAGAACATTAAAACATGAAAAGATCCTTCCACCATCTTTCACAGAGCATCTCCATCTTCCTGCCATTTTCTAACTAGGACAGGAAGGGGAGGAGTAGACAGAGGGTTTGAAACTGGGACAGGAAGGGGAGGAGTAGACAGAGGGTTTGAAACTGGGACAGGAAGGGGAGGAGTATATAGAGGGTTTGAAACTGGGACAGGAAGGGGAGGAGTAGACAGAGGGTTTGAAACTGGGACAGGAAGGGGAGGAGTATATAGAGGGTTTGAAACTGGGACAGGAAGGGGAGGAGTAGACAGAGGGTTTGAAACTGGGACAGGAAGGGGAGGAGTATATAGAGGGTTTGAAACTGAGACAGGAAGGGGAGGAGTAGACAGAGGGTTTGAAATTGGAACAGGAAGGGGAGGAGTATATAGAGGGTTTGAAACTGGGACAGGAAGGGGAGGAGTAGACAGAGGGTTTGAAACTGGGACAGGAAGGGGAGGAGTAGACAGAGGGTTTGAAACTGGAACAGGAAGGGGAGGAGTATATAGAGGGTTTGAAACTGGGACAGGAAGGGGAGGAGTATATAGAGGGTTTGAAACTGGGACAGGAAGGGGAGGAGTATATAGAGGGTTTGAAACTGGGACAGGAAGGGGAGGAGTAGACAGAGGGTTTGAAACTGGGACAGGAAGGGGAGGAGTATATAGAGGGTTTGAAACTGGGACAGGAAGGGGAGGAGTATATAAAGGGTTTGAAACTGGGACAGGAAGGGGAGGAGTAGACAGAGGGTTTGAAACTGGAACAGGAAGGGGAGGAGTATATAGAGGGTTTGAAACTGGGACAGGAAGGGGAGGAGTATACAGAGGGTTTGAAACTGGGACAGGAAGGGGAGGAGTAGACAGAGGGTTTGAAACTGGGACAGGAAGGGGAGGAGTATATAGAGGGGTTTGAAACTGGGACAGGAAGGGGAGGAGTAGACAGAGGGTTTGAAACTGGGACAGGAAGGGGAGGAGTATATAGAGGGTTTGAAACTGGGACAGGAAGGGGAGGAGTATATAAAGGGTTTGAAACTGGGACAGGAAGGGGAGGAGTATACAGAGGGTTTGAAACTGGGACAGGAAGGGGAGGAGTAGACAGAGGGTTTGAAACTGGGACAGGAAGTGGAGGAGTAGACAGAGGGTTTGAAACTGGGACAGGAAGGGGAGGAGTATACAGAGGGTTTGAAACTGGAACAGGAAGGGGAGGAATATATAGAGGGTTTGAAACTGGGACAGGAAGGGGAGGAGTATATAGAGGGTTTGAAACTGGGACAGGAAGGGGAGGAGTATACAGAGGGTTTGAAACTGGGACAGGAAGGGGAGGAGTATATAGAGGGTTTGAAACTGGGACAGGAAGGGGAGGAGTATACAGAGGGTTTGAAACTGGGACAGGAAGGGGAGGAGTATATAGAGGGTTTGAAACTGGGACAGGAAGGGGAGGAGTAGACAGAGAGTTTGAAACTGGGACAGGAAGGGGAGGAGTAGATATAGGGTTTGAAACTGGAACAGGAAGGGGAGGAGAATATAGAGGGTTTGAAACTGGGACAGGAAGGGGAGGAGTATATAGAGGGTTTGAAACTGGGACAGAAAACATGGCATTGAGCCAAGTTGGGAAAGAAAAATAATTGAAGTCAAAAAACGTATTGTATCAAGTCTGCTTCCTGCTATAGTTTGGTATGTATCACAGAACTTCAGCTGTGTCTAAACTCTTGCTGAACTGGAAAGAACTCTCCTTATGTTACAAGTTAGTAAACCTCATTTATGGCAAACAAGGGATTTGGGTTCAACCCGAGGGTTAGATTTAGGCTACGACCCCAAAGTTTTGTCTCTGTAGCTTCATGTTATTATGGTTAGACAGACCTTAACAGTGTATCCAATATAGCCTGATGTCATTGTGGCATAGGCCTGGCATAAACTGGTGATGAAATCAGAGCTGATAAGTTACAAATTTAGGCCGGCATTACATCATATAAGCAGGCAACCAGAACTAACCAATTTAACCTTTGGTAAATGTGACATTGTTGTTACTTTGTGGCCACATTGTTATTGACTGTTACGTAGCACTGTAGCTACGTTGTGTTTTGTAACCCTAAACATAAGCAGCTACTCCTGTGATACAGATGTGATACAAAGTTTTACTTACCTATCTAAAACAAAGTATAAATCGTAAGCTCCGTGGCAAGACGCTTCTTCTGCATGACAAGACCATGCAGACAAACTCAGCAGAATTACTACAGCTGTTACTGCTGTTGATATCCAGTGGATCTTAGCGCGATGGCGTGTTTTCTCCTTCATTGTCAAGTTCAACGGTGTCGTTGTGGCCCGCAAAGCAAACCTATCAAGCGAAATGACACGCGTTTTATTCTAGCACATGAACAGCAGGCCTAGTGAGTAGACTAAACACGATCCGCACATCTGCAAGGTTGAGGAGCAAGATGTCACAACGTACACAGCACAACTTTAATATAGCCTTCCTACGAAATACAGGAAATCACAGAGCCCTTGTCACCGACAGTATTTCTTAATATCCTATGACTATGTACACTAGCCCTTGTAACCTCAGCAAGTGTTGAGTCAATGCAATAGCCCATTGCATAAAACTTGCCCCTTATGATACACAAAGCACACTCCCACGAAAGTTTACTTTATTCCAAAGGCGCATGCGCCTGGTAAAACCAGATGTGGTGAAGTTTAGCCGGTCTCGGGGGTGGTCGCGGTGCTGTACGGAGCGCAAGCACACACCCAACAGCTGCGGTAACGTCTTTCAGAGGTTGGGGAAAGGGGAAAAAGGCAAAAGTCTACTCGGTATGCACAATTTAATCACCAGAACATGTCGGCCCATATTATACTCACAGTTATTTAATAAAAGGTCGGTTTAAAATGGGTGAATAGCCTATAACAATTTGCAGCCTTTTGAACAGTCTTTATCTAAAATTGCGTTTTTGGGTGGGGGAGAGTGATGGCCACCAATTAAATATGAAAACATAGCCAAGGTCTACTGCAGCACCATCAAAACGTAAACCCAAATCAACCCAAATCCTGCCACAACTGTCCCCAGTAGTTTTTTTTTTTTATCCAACCACAGTAGCCCGCAATGTAAGCTCGTTCCTGACAGCAAAAATAAATAAATCTGACTATGAGTTATGAGATAGTAGCCTAAGTCATAATTATGAAATAGTAAACCATTATTATGAGACAGTAAGTCATTATTATGAAATAGTAAGTCATTATTATGAAATAGTAAATCATTATTATGAGAAAGTAAGTCATTATTATGAAATAGGGAGTCATTATGAGATAATAAGTCATAATTATGAGATATGTTTAGTCGATCTTTATCACATGAATCCATTGTGAACTTTACATCAGGCCCTCCTCAACTTTCAAGGATAACCTTATGTACAGTGCCTTCGGAAAGTATTCAGACCCCATGACATTTTAAACACTTTGTTAGGTTGCGGCCTTATTCTAAAACTGATTAAATTGTTTTTTTTCCCTCATCAATCTACACACAATACCCCATAATGACAAAGCTGGGCTCCCGAGTTGCGCAACGGTCTAAGGCACTGCATCTCAGTGCTTGAGGCGTCACTACAGACCCCCCTGGTTCGATTCCAGGATGTATCACAACCGGCCGTGATTGGGAATCCCATAGGGCGGTGCACAATTGGCCCAGTGTCGTCCGGGTTTGGCCGGTGTAGGCCGTCATTGTAAATAAGAATTTGTTCTTAACTGACTTGCCTAGTTAAATAAAGGTACAAAATAAAAGCAAAAACTGGTTTTTAGAAATGTTCGCCATAAAAAGGAAAATTTTAAAAATGTCACATTTACATCAGTATTCAGACCCTTTACTCAGTACTTTGTTGAAGCACCTTTGGCAGCGATTACAGCCTCAAGTCTTCTTGGGTATGACGCTACAAGCTTGGCACACCTGTATTTGGGGAGTTTCTCCCATTCTTCTCTGCAGATCCTCCCAAGCTCTGTCAGGTTGAATGGGGAGCGTTGCTGCACAGCTATTTTCAGGTCTCTCCAGACGTTCGATCGGGTTCAAGTCCGGGCTCTGGCTGGGCCACCCAAGGACATTCAGAGACTTGTCCCGAAGCCATTCCTGCGTTGTCTTGACTGTGTACTTAGGGTCATTGTCCTGTTGGAAGGTTAACCTTCGCCCCAGTCTGAGGTCCTGAGCCCTCTGGAGCAGGTTTTCATCAAGGATCTCTCTGTACTTTGCTCCGTTCATCTTTGCATCGATCCTGACTAGTCTCCCAGTCCCTGCCACTGAAAAATATCCCCACAGCATGATGCTGCCACCACCATGCTTCCCTGTAGGGATGGTGCCAGGTTTCCTCCAGACGTGAAGCTTGGTATTCAGGCCAAATAGTTCAATCTTGGTTTCATCAGACCAGAGAATCTTGTTTCTTATGGCCTGAGAGTCTTTAGGTGCCTTTTGGCAAACTCCAAGTGGGCTGTCATGTGACTTTTACTGAGGAGTGATTGGTGGAGTGCTGCAGAGATGGTTGTCCTTCTGGAAGGTTCTCCCATCTTCATAGAGGAACTCTAGAGCTCTGCCAGAGTGACCATCGGGTTCTTGGTCACCTCCCTGACCAAGGCCCATCTCCCCCGATTGCTCAGTTTGGCCGCCATCTCTAGGAAGAGTCTTGGTGGTTCCAAACCTTCCATTTCAGAATGATGGAGGCCACTGTGTTCTTGGGGACCTTCAATGCTGCAGACATTTTTTGGTACCCTTCCCCAGATCTGTGCCTCGACACAATCCTGTCTCGGAGCTCTATGGACAATTCCTTCGACCTCATGGCTTGGTTTTTGCTCTGACATGCACTGTCAACTGTGGGACCTTATATAGACAGGTGTGTGCCTTTCCAAACCATGTCCAATCAATTGAATTTACCACAGGTGCACTCCAATGAAGTAGAAACATCTCAATGATGATCAATGGAATCAGGATGCACCTGAGCTCAATTTCAAGTCTCATAGCAAAGGGTCTGAATACTTATGTAAATAAGGTATTCCTGGGTAAAAAAAAAAAAATACATTTGCAAACATTTCTAAAAACCTGTTTTCCTTTGTCATTATGGGGTATTGTGTGTAGATTCCTGAGGATTTTTATTTATTTAATCCATTTTAGAATAAGGCTGTAACGTAACAAAATGTGGAAAAAGTCAAGGGGTCTGAATACTTTCCGAATGCACTGTATATCCTATAGTCAATCACACATTTTGTGTGTGTGTGTGTGTGTGCATGCGTGGTGTGTGTGTGTGTGGTGTGTGTGTGTGTGTGTGTGTGTGTGTGTGTGTGTGTGTGTGTGTGTGTGTGTGTGTGTGCGTGCATATGCGTGTGAGAGAGAGAGTTTGTGGTGATATTGTTCCATATTAATAATGGACTGGAGAGTTTTGTTGATGTGAGTTTGTGCCTGTTTGATGACATTTGGTTGACATCAAATATTATTCAATTAAATCAATTTAAAGGGACAATCTGGGATTCGTAAATCAATTTTTGGACTTTTAAATTATTAATATAGGGGTAGAGCTGCAGGACTATTCAATGTCGGTGATCCAGACTTACTATCTCATAATTATTACTTACTATTTCAAAATAATGACTTAATATCACATAATAATGACTTAGTCTCATAATAATGACTTACTATCTCATAATAATGACTTACTATCTCATAATAATGACTTACTATCACATAATAATGACTTACTATTTCAAAATAATGACTTAATATCACATAATAATGACTTAGTCTCATAATAATGACTTACTATCTCATAATAATGACTTACTATCTCATAATAATGACTTACTATCTCATAATAATGACTTACTGTCTCATAATAATGACTTACTGTCTCGTAATAATGACTTACTATCTCATAATAATGACTTACTATCTCATAATAATGACTTACTGTCTCATAATAATGACTTACTATCTCATAATAATGACTTACTGTCTCATAATAATGACTTACTATCTCATAATAATGACTTACTGTCTCATAATAATGACTTACTATCTCATAATAATGACTTACTATCTCATAATAATGACTTGCTGTCTCATAATAATGACTTACTGTCTCATAATAATGACTTACTATCTCATAATAATGACTTACTATCTCATAATAATGACTTACTGTCTCATAATAATGACTTACTATCTCATAATAATGACTTACTATCTCATAATAATGACTTACTATCTCATAATAATGACTTACTATCTCATAATAATGACGTACTATCTCATAATAATGACTTACTATCTCATAATAATGACTTACTATCTCATAATAATGACTTACTATCTCATAATAATGACTTACTATCTCAAAACATAGTCAGATTTTTGGGGGGGTTGGCGGGAACGGGTTCCATAGCCTGCTGTCTATGTTTAAAATACAGCAGAGAGCATATTTTAGCCACAGAGGATCAATCGTTTCTAAGAAGCCACCCAAGCCATAGACTGACTGTTCACTCTGCTACCATCACGCAAACGGTACCGGAGCATCGGATATTGGACCAACAGGCTCCAAGACAGCAAACGGTACCGGAGCATCGGGTCTCGGACCAACAGGCTCCGAAACAGCTTCTACCCCTAAGCTATAAGACTGCTAAATAGACAGACTGCTAAATAGTCAGGGGACTTGTACCCAACCGAAGCGGCATGGCTCGGTCTGGCACGGACCCTGGGCACACGCCCGGACGAGAGACACACTTATAGATACACGTCCCTAGACGGAGAGAGACACACGAGAGAGACACGCACGAGGACGAGAGAGACACATCGGGAGAGGACACGCACTGATATCGAGAGAGTACACACGAGAGCGACACACGACACTAAAACACACCACTATTAAATAAAACCCCTAATAACACTCATAACTTATACAAACTATAATACACTCACTATACTAATATAACCTATATAACACTCACTATACATAAACACACTATAACACACACTCACCCTTTTTTTAAAAAAAATTTTCACCTTAACATCCCAAATATTAACCACTTTTAACCCCACTATTAAACCCTAAATAAAATACACACTCACTAACTATATTAAATTTAACATCCTAGACTATAATACAACTATATTAACTAACACCTCACAACTTTTAAATTTTCCTCATAACTATTAGGAACAAATTTTACCCTCCTAAATATTATAACACCCATATATACCTAAACACACTCCTAGACTATTATACCACTATAATAAAAACCACTAGACTATATATCACACTATATTACACTAAAAAAATAAAAGACTATTTCCCCAACATAATAACTCACTAGAAAATTAACAATATAAACCAATTAAAACCCAATAATTCACACTCACAGACTATATATCACCAAAAATTAAACCTACTAGGATTAAAATTACCACTTTTTACACTAAAATACACACTCACTGGGTTTTAAAACATTTTACATCATGAATATATAACAAATTTTAAACCCCCTTTTTTCCCCCTTCCAAAATATGACTATATTTTTAAACCTTTTTTCCTTTAAAAAACAACTATTTGAAATAAACTACCACTATATATTTTCCACTAAATTTTCAACCAAGTTTTCCCTTTTAATACAGACAAAACAACAAAACACCAAAAAAATAAATACCAATAATACCACCCAAAATTTTCAAAAATTCCCACAACTTAATAAAAATATATATACCTTTTAAAAAAAACAACAAAACCCTAAACACACTACTAATTATAACCCTATATTAAAAACTCCCCAAATATAAACACAAAATACACCATAATATAATATACACCCAAATATATTACACAAAAAAACTAAAATATTAACACCTTTTTACACTCACTAACATATATCCACTATATACACTCACTAACATATATCACCTTATAACACAAAAACACAATCACAAACTATATTATCCACTATATAACAAAAAAATAACAAAAATTTTAAAACCATAACTTATTACCCCTAAAACACTCCTAACATATATACACCCATATATACCTAAATACACAACTCACTAGACTAATATACACACTATAAACATCATAACTATATATACACACTATTACCCCACTCACAATTTTTTACCATATATAACACCCACTAAATATATTACCACTTTATATACCACATCACATTATATATACCCTATATATACCCACTAATAATTTTACACACTATATTACACATCATATAATTTTTAAAACCTTAAAACACTCACTAAAACATATATCAAAAACCCATAAAACACTAAAACCACTCCTAGCATAATAAACTTTTATACACACTATAAATATATAAACATAAATACACCCAAACAATATACACATTATAAACCCTCCTAACTAATATAACACTATATCACACTCAAAGTATATATCCCCCACTATATCCCACTCACTATATTTTTCCCCATATAAACCCACACCCCTAACTTATATACACATATATACCCTAACTAATATATATCACACTTAAAAAAACCCCACTAACATTATACCCACATATAACACTACTAGAAAATATCAACTATAAACCTCCTAACATTATACCAAAAATTAACACTCACTAACTATAATTTCACACTATATAAAACTAAATACCACTATAACTTAATTATCCCCTAATACACATCCTAACTAAAACCACTATAACATACTGGGTATATATACACAAAAACCCCCCAATACTATATAAAACCCCATTAAATCATAACCCCCCAAAAAACTAAAAAACACTCACTAACTATAAACAACCCCCTATATAAAACCACAACAATAACACACTATTTCACCCTTTCTAAAACACACAAATTCCTAAAAACACACTACTTTAAAAATTTTACACCTATTACACACCACAACTTATCCACTAAAACCCACTCACAAATTATTAAAACACAAACCTCCTAATTAAACACACTATTCCCTCCAACTAAAACACATTAATTCATCCAAGTAAAAAAACATAACCCCCACTACAATTCCTTTCCCTACTGCTAATTAAAACTATATTTAAAAAACCCCCAGACATTATACCCATAACACCCAAACTTTAAACCACTTTTCCTCCCCCCATAACACACAAAAACACTAAAAACCCCAAAACCCCAACGTAACCACATTACACCCCACTAAAATTTCCCTATTACACACTCATAAAATTTTAACACACTTAACACCACTAAAAATAACACACAAAACACACTCACTAACTTTAACCAATAATACACCACACTAAAACAATATATAACACTTAACCCACAACAATTTAAAAAATAACCCCACCACTTGATAATCAACTAAAAACCACTACATACCACTAAATTCCCCCTGCTTTTTTAAAAACTTCCCAAAAATTTAACAATATTACAACCCCCACCCCCAAACTAATTAAACACACAAAACCCTCCTCCAAAACCCCAAAACCCCCCCACAACTAACCCACCTCTATTTTTTTTCAAACCCACTATAAATACCCCTTTAAATTACCATATTATAAACGTATTTAATCCTATTACATTAACCTTTTATAAAACACTCAAAACTATAATTTCCACCCATATACAACAAAAACTCAATACTTTTATACACCTATTTCACCCCCTTTAAAAACACCTATTACAATATCTTAAAACCTATTAAACTCACTAGATTTAACCCCTTTAACTACATTAAACCTTTTAAAACACTACTACATTACCCAAAGTTAAAAACCCCAAAAACCCATTTAACATTCCTACCCTAATACCCTTAAACATTTCCAAATCCAAAAAATATCCCCTTCCCTTCCCTTTATTTATTTACATTGTTTTTCATTTAACCTCCCTTAAAACATTTACCCCAATATTTTAACCCCTTTCCAAACCCCTATATTTACCCTTACCCCCTCATTTACATATACCCCAAAACCATTTACCATTTTAAACCCATACTTTTACCTTTAAATCCCATTAAAATTTCCCAAAAATTTTAATCCCAAGTATTTCCCCTTTTAAAATTTACCTTTCAAAAACCTTTTAAACCCCAACTTCCCAAACCCCCCCTTTAAAAACCATTCCTCCCTTTTATTTTTAACCATCCAAAAAAATTTTCACCTTTTCCTACTCTAAAAAACACCATTGGTTTTCCCTTTTTACATTCCCAAAAATTCCCAAAATTAACATTTTTTTTTTTTTTTTTTTTTTTTTTTTTTTTTTTTTTTTTTTTTTTTTTAAAAAAAAAAAAAAAAAAAAAAAAAAAAAAAAAAAAAAAAAAAAACCAAAGGGGGGGGGTTTAAAAATTTTTTAAAAAACTCGGAAGGTAACAAACAACCCCACGGCCCCCTTCTACCTCAAATATCTAGTCAAATATTAATTCCTGATGCCTAGTCACTTTCCCTGCCTTCATGTACATATCTACCTCAAATACCTTTATTATCTATCCTGATGCATAGTCACTTTACCCTGCCTTAGTACATATCTACTCACCTTAAACCTATGCCTGTCATTATTCATGTATACCTATACTTATACACTTTAGTCACTTACCCTCTTCATGTACATATCTACCTCAAATACCTTATTATTATCGTATCCTGACCCTGCCTATGTACACTTTACCCATATACTACTAGCCTGTCCTTACCCTGCTCATGTACATATCTACCTCAAATACCTTATTTATTATCTATCCTGATGCCTAGTCACTTTACATTTAAACATTTAATTTAGTCATTTAGCAGACGCTCTTAACCAGAGCGACTTACAGGAGCAATTAGGTTAAGTGCCTTGCTCAAGGGCACATTAACGTCATTTAGCAGACGCTCTTAGCCAGAGCGACTCACAAATTGGTGCGTTCACCCTATAGCCAGTGGGATAACCACTTTACAATTTGGGGGGGGGGGGGGGGGGGGTTGAAGGAATACTTTAGCCTATCCCAGGTATTCCTTAAAGAGGTGGGGTTTCAAATGTCTCCGGAAGGTGGTGAGTGACTCCGCTGTCCTGGCGTCGTGAGGGAGCTTGTTCCACCATTGGGGTGCCAGAGCAGCGAACAGTTTTGACTGGGCTGAGGGGGAGCTGTGCTTCCGCAGAGGAAGGGGAGCCAGCAGGCCAGAGGTGGATGAACGCAATGTCCTCGTTTGGGTGTAGGGACTGATCAGAGCCTGAAGGTACAGGGGTGCCGTTCCCCTCACTGCTCCAAAGGCAAGCACCATGGTCTTGTAGCGGATGCGAGCTTCAATTGGAAGCCAGTGGAGTGTGCGGAGGAGGGGGGTGACGTGAGAGAACTTGGGAAGGTTGAACACCAGACGGGCTGCGGCATTCTGGATGAGTTGTAGGGGTTTAATGGCACAGGCAGGGAGCCCAGCCAACAGCGAGTTGCAGTAGTCCAGACGGGAGATGACAAGTGCCTGGACCAGGACCTGCGCCGCTTCCTGTGTAAGGCAGGGTCGCACTCTCCGAATGTTGTAGAGCATGAACCTGCAGGAGCGGGTCACCGCCTTGATGTTGGCGGAGAACGACAGGGTGTTGTCCAGGGTCACGCCTAGGCTCTTCGCACTCTGGGAGGAGGACACAGCGGAGTTGTCTACCGTGATGGCGAGATCATGGAACGGGCAGTCCTTCCCGGGGAGGAAGAGCAGCTCCGTCTTGCCAGGGTTCAGCTTGAGGTGGTGATCCGTCATCCATACTGATATGTCTGCCAGACATGCAGAGATGCGATTCGCCACCTGGTGATCAGAAGGGGGAAAGGAGAAGATTAGTTGTGTATCGTCAGCGTAGCAATGATAGGAAAGGCCATGTGAGGATATGACAGAGCCAAGTGACTTGGTGTATAGGGAGAAAAGGAGAGGGCCCAAAACCGATCCCTGGGGGACACCAGTGGTGAGAGCACGTGGTGCGGAGACAGCTTCCCGCCACGCCACTTGGTAGGAGCGACCGGTCAGGTAGGACGCAATCCAGGAGTGAGCCGCGCCGGAGATGCCCATTTCGGAGAGGGTGGAGAGGAGGATCTGATGGTTCACAGTATCAAAGGCAGCAGACAGATCTAGAAGGACAAGAGCAGAGGAGAGAGAGTTAGCTTTAGCAGTGCGGAGAGTCTCTGTGACACAGAGAAGAGCAGTCTCAGTTGAATGACCAGTCCTGAAACCTGATTGGTTTGGATCAAGAAGGTCATTCTGAGAGAGATAGCAAGAGAGTTGGCTAAAGACGGCACGCTCAATAGTTTTGGAAAGAAAAGAAAGAAGGGATACTGGTCTGTAGTTGTTGACATCAGTGGGGTCGAGTGTTGGTTTTTTGAGAAGGGGAGTAACTCTCGCTCTCTTGAAGACGGAAGGGACATGGCCAGCGGTCAAGGATGAGTTGATCAGCGAGGTGAGGTAGGGGAGAAGGTCACCGGAGATGGTCTGGAGAAGGGAGGAGGGGATGGGGTCAAGCGGGCAGGTTGTTGGGCGGCCTGCAGTCACAAGTCGCAGGATCTTATCTGGAGAGAGAGGGGAGAAAGAAGTCAAAGCATAGGGTAGGGCAGTGTGAGCAGGACCAGCAGTGTCATTAGGCTTAACAAACAAGGATCGGATGTCGTCAACCTTCTTTTCAAAGTGGTTGACGAAGTCATCCACAGAGAGAGAGGAGGGGGGGAGGGGGGGGGGGGAGGATTCAGGAGGGAGGAAAATGTGGCAAAGAGCTTCCTAGGGTTAGAGGCAGATGCTTGGAATTTAGAGTGGTAGAAGGTGGCCTTAGCAGCAGAAACAGATGAAGAAAATGTAGAGAGGAGGGAGTGAAAAGATGCCAGGTCGGCAGGGAATTTAGTTTTCTTCCATTTCCGCTCCGCTGCCCGGAGCTCTGTTCTGTGAGCTCGCAATGAGTCATCAAGCCACGGAGCTGGAGGGGAGGACCGAGCCGGCCGTGAGGATAGGGGACACAGAGAGTCAAAGGATGCAGAAAGGGAGGAGAGGAGGGTTGAGGAGGCAGAATCAGGAGATTGGAGGGAGAAGGATTGAGCAGAGGGAAGAGATGATAGGATGGAAGAGGAGAGAGTAGTGGGAGAGAGAGAGCGAAGGTTGCGGCGGCGCATTACCATCTGTGTAGGGGCGGAGTGAGTAGTGTGGGAGGAGAGTGAGAGAGAAAAGGAAACAAAGTAGTGGTCGGAGACTTGGAGGGGAGTTGCAGTGAGATTAGTAGAGGAGCAGCATCTAGTGAAGATGAGGTCAAGCGTATTGCCTGCCTTGTGAGTAGGGGGGGACGGTGAGAGGGTGAGGTCAAAAGAGGAGAGGAGTGGAAAGAAGGAGGCAGAGAGAAATGAGTCAAATGTGGACATAGGGAGGTTGAAATCCCCCAAAACTGTGAGGGGTGAGCCATCCTCAGGGAAGGAACTTATCAAGGCGTCAAGCTCATTGATGAACTCTCCAAGGGAACCTGGAGGGCGATAGATGACAAGGATATTAAGCTTAAATGGGCTAGTGACTGTGACAGCATGGAATTCAAATGAGGAGATAGACAGATGGGTTAGGGGAAAAATTGAGAATGTCCACTTGGGAGAGATGAGGATTCCTGTACCACCACCCCTCTGACCAGATGCTCTCGGGGTATGCGAGAACACATGGTCAGACGAGGAGAGAGCAGTAGGAGTAGCGGTGTTTTCAGTGGTGATCCATGTTTCCGTCAGCGCCAGGAAGTCAAGGGACTGGAGGTTGGCATAGGCTGGGATGAAGTCAGCTTTGTTGGCAGCAGAACGGCAGTTCCAGAGGCTGCCTGCGACCTGGAACTCCACGTGGGTGGTGCGTGCAGGGACCACCAAATTGGAGAGGCAGCAGCCACGCGGTGTGGTGCGTTTGTGTAGCCTGTGCAGAGAGGAGAGAACAGGGATAGGCAGAGGCATAGTTGACAGGCTGTAGCAAATGGCTACAAAAATGCAGAGGAGATCGGAATGAAATGGGCTAAGCATCTGGGAGTGGAGAGAGCAGGGCCTCCCTCACCAAATCTTCTAGCTCGGAAACTAAAATTGTTTCACTGAACCACCCGAACAAAAACTCTCCCAACTTCCGCCTTTGGAAATCAGAATTGTTGTGAACCACAGCGGTTCAATGTTTAAAGGAGTAGACTCAACCCACTTTGTTCAGCTAGCCAACTATGACTCCATAGCCAACTAGCAGACTAGCATCCAATAACAATAACACACCGTTTAGCGCCAACACTTGGTCACAACAAACCACCAATATTGTGATATCACACTAAACAGATCATTCGTGTCTGTGTCAAGTTCCTTATATGACGCAGCAATGATTAGACGTTGGCTAGCTAGGACAAGTAAATTGTGGTTAACTACTACAGTACAGCCAAATGGTCATGTTGGGTAGCTAGCAATGGCCACTGTGTCGACTCTGTTTGAAGAACGGCTAGCTAGCTAACCCTCTCACGTCCTCTCCCGTCAGCTGCAGCACGATGTACATGCCTTCATGTACATATCTACCTCAAATACCTTATTATTATCTATCCTGATGCCTAGTCACTTTACCCTGCCTTCATGTATATATCTACCTCAAATACCTTATTATTATCTATCCTGATGCCTAGTCACTTTACCCTGCCTTCATGTATATATCTACCTCAAATACCTTATTATTATCTATCCTGATGCCTAGTCACTTTACCCTGCCTTCATGTATATATCTACCTCAAACACCTTATTATTATCTATCCTGATGCCTAGTCACTTTACCCTGCCTTTATGTATATGTCTACCTCAAATACCTTATTATTATCTATCCTGATGCCTAGTCACTTTACCCTGCCTTCATGTACATATCTACCTCAAATACCTTATTATTATCTATCCTGATGCCTACATTTACTTTTTAGTCATTTAGCAGACGCTCTTATCCAGAGCGACTTACAGTTAGTGAGTAAATACATTATTTTTTTATTTTTCATACTGGTCCCCCGTGGGAATCAAACCCACAACCCTGGCGTTGCAAACGCCACGCTCGGCAGGGATGTAGCTCAGTTGGTAATAAGAGTGTCTGCTAAATGACTCAAATGTAATAATATTCATCATTGCTGCTGTCTAAGCACCTCAGCCTCCACCTGCACCAACGTTCACTCTCACTAAGGGTTTAAACCCCCTTCACTAATATTGCACCTTGCACATATCACTGTTAAATAAAGAGTATTTTCAGCTTGTACCCCTTGCCACGGATCAGTATTCTCATCACGTCTCCTGTCAGTAACTGTCAACGAGGAAGCTAATGATCCACTCAAATGTAAACATACCGAGGGGGGGGGGGGGGGGGTCTTGTCCTATGTACATGTAATGACGTGGGCAGAAACTCCTCATACTCGACAGCAACAAGACGGATGTCATTCTCATCGGCTCCAAGTCCACTGTCAACCTCAGCATCACCGTAGACGGTTTCCCCGGACCCTCTGTCAACTCATGTCAAAAGCCTCGGTGTCACCCTGGACAGAACCCTGTAAACATCTCCAGGCTCCACCCCCAAACCGAACCCCTCTCCTTTCTCTCCATGCCTTCCTTCGTCACCTCCCGACTGGACTACTGCAACCCCTTCCTTACTGGTACCCCCCACCAAACTCATCGATGGACTCCAACTGGTTCTGAACTCCACTGCCAGAATCCTCACCCACACCAGATCAACTGAACACATCACACTGCTGGTCTCCTTGTCACCCCCCCCCCCCCCCACCCCATTCTACCTCTCCGCCATGGGTTCCCAGCCCTTCCGCTGCTCAGCACCCAGGCTTTGGAATGCACTCCCCACCACACATACGAAATGGAGACTCAATCGACACGTTCAAAAAACAACTCAAAACAGACCTCTATCAATTAGCTTTCGGTCTCTGATTGACCCCCCCCCCCCCCCCCCCCCCCCCCCCTGTTAATGTAAGGTGGGCTTGAGTTTATTGAAAGGAGTCTGTTAAAATCTATTATTATTATCATTATTATTATTATGTGCTTACTTCCTGGGTCCCCTGTAGCTCAGTTGGTAGAGCATGGCGCTTGCAACACCAGGGTTGTGGGTTCGTTTCCCACGGGGGGCCAGTATGAAAATGTATGCACTCACTAACTGTAAGTCGCTCTGGATAAGAGCGTCTGCTAAATGACTAAAATGTAAAATCATATTCAGGGGCCTTTCCTAACACAAACAGGTACATGTTCAATAGCAGAGATCTCAACAAACAAAATAGCCTAATAAATTGACAAAATAACAGAACCCGCAGGGAAACTAGTGACAGCTGCTCCGAGAGGCTGCAAACAAACAAAGAAACAATGTAAGCGCTGTAAATAAATAAAATGCACAAAACTGAAATAAAATAACAGCTCAAGTTACACAGATAACTGGACACTTGCCAGCAAGTTTTTCATAGTCATAGACATGTTAAAAAACCAGTAACAATACTGGACTTTTAGGCTACTTGCAATAACTGTAATACTGTAGGCTATGGTTGTTTTAGCTAGCTTAGCTTAGCTGAATGTACAGGCTGTAAAGTCACTCTGGATAAGAGAGGCTACTAAAACAGCACCAGGTAAACACAGTAGGGTAAAGGTCAAAGGTCAAATGGATTTCATCAAAGAGGAAATGGAGAGTGGGACTGGCACAGTACGCTAACAGACCCCTAGTCTCTGCAATGGTATGCTAACAGACCCCTAGTCTCTGCAATGGTATGCTAACAGACCCCTAGTCTCTGCAATGGTATGCTAACAGACCCCTAGTCTCTGCAGTGGTATGCTAACAGACCCCTAGTCTCTGCAATGGTATGCTAACAGACACGTCTGTCGCCGTCACAGTACGCTAACAGACCCCTAGTCTCTGCAGTGGTATGCTAACAGACCCCTAGTCTCTGCAATGGTATGCTAACAGACCCCTAGTCTCTGCAGTGGTATGCTAACAGACCCCTAGTCTCTGCAATGGTATGCTAACAGACACGTCTGTCGCCGTCACAGTACGCTAACAGACCCCTAGTCTCTGCAGTGGTATGCTAACAGACCCCTAGTCTCTGCAATGGTATGCTAACAGACCCCTAGTCTCTGCAATGGTATGCTAACAGACCCCTAGTCTCTGCAATGGTATGCTAACAGACCCCTAGTCTCTGCAATGGTATGCTAACAGACTCCTAGTCTCTGCAATGGTATGCTAACAGACCCCTAGTCTCTGCAATGGTATGCTAACAGACCCCTAGTCTCTGCAATGGTATGCTAACAGACTCCTAGTCTCTGCAATGGTATGCTAACAGACCCCTATTCTCTGCAATGGTATGCTAACAGACCCCTAGTCTCTGCAATGGTATGCTAACAGACCCCTAGTCTCTGCAATGGTATGCTAACAGACCCCTAGTCTCTGCAGTGGTATGCTAACAGACCCCTAGTCTCTGCAATGGTATGCTAACAGACCCCTAGTCTCTGCAATGGTACGCTAACATACCCCTAGTCTCTGCAATGGTATGCTAACAGACCCCTAGTCTCTGCAATGGTATGCTAACAGACCCCTAGTCTCTGCAATGGTATGCTAACAGACCCCTAGTCTCTGCAATGGTACGCTAACAGACCCCTATTCTCTGCAATGGTATGCTAACAGACCCCTAGTCTCTGCAATGGTACGCTAACAGACCCCTAGTCTCTGCAATGGTATGCTAACAGACCCCTAGTCTCTGCAATGGTATGCTAACAGCCACGTCTGTCGCTGTCACAGTATGCTAACAGACCCCTAGTCTCTGCAATGGTATGCTAACAGACCCCTAGTCTCTGCAATGGTATGCTAACAGACCCCTAGTCTCTGCAACAGGCTTTCACCTCTAGTAGGCCCCTAACTAGTGCATGATCTCTCTCTCTCTCTCTTATTACCTACTCTATTGGTAGGCCTATAAAGAGATGAGGTCACTACTTGGCATTTTCCATGACAGAGAGGGACATTCCATCTCTTCACCCAGCCTGGTCCCAGATCTGTTTGCGCTGTCTTGCTATCAATGACCATAGGAGTTGGGAAGACAGCGCAAACACATCTGGGACCAGGCTATTATACTTACACCCTTCTGTTTCTGTTTGAACAAGGCAAATCAACACATGTTGTAGTTTAGGATGAGACCTCAAGGAATAGAAGTAGAAGAATCACAGAAATGAGGTGATTTTCCCATGCCATTACTGGTAGTAACGTGTCATGAGTCAGGTGACTGGGAAGTGACCCTGTTGGTAGTGTGGCTAGCTACATCAGTTCATTTCCCTTTGTTTCGCCACAAACACCATAACAACAACGTCATCACGATAAACATAGACCTTCCTCATCAAATTGGAATATTGCGGATAACAGCAAAGCAACAGTATAATTATCCAGGGTGAATCAAATTGGAATTAAATTGTAATTAATGAGTGGGGAAGATGTTTAATTATTCTGCATGCTTCTTCGGTTCCATACACGCTCTGCGTCATCGTCCCACAATACATTATCAACGGTGTGGCATTCAAAAACAACACGGCTGCAATCCCAAATGGCATCTTTACTCCACATGCAGTGCACTACGTAGTGAATAGAGGGTGCCATTTGGGAAGCGATCCCAAGGATGTACTGTTACATTCAAATGATCTCTGATTTGCAGTGTTGTGTTTGAAAACCCATCGGCTTGAGAAAAAGTTGTATTCTGCCGATTCGTTGTGGACTTTAAAGTAACGTCTCCTAATTGAAGGTGACAGTTAAAACAAAAACAAAGTAATTGTTAAAACCACTGAGGTGTTGAAAGCCATCAGCAGAAGACAATCCATGATGAACCACTGAGGTATTATTGCAACAGAAGATTCCCAACAGTTATAGAGGAAACAACAGATTATGAACGAGGGCTTGTGTCTCGCACACCCATTTGTATATCACAGATTAGCCTGACCAATCTCTTCACATAGACCGATTAATGATTAAGCCATGACTGTGTCTCTGCATTGTACACACATTTCTGAAGTGACTCACAGGATGTAGCAAAGCAATAAACACCAAAGCACTATTTGACAATGGTATGTCTATTACATTTTAGTCATTTAGCAGAAGCTCTTATCCAGAGCGACTTACAGTTAGTGAATACATATATATATATATATTTTTTTTATACTGGCCCCCCGTGGGAATCAAACCCACAACCCTGGCGTTGCAAACGCCATGCTCTATCAACTGAGCTACATCCCTGCCGGCCATTCCCTCCCCTACCCTGGACGACGCTGGGCCAATTGTGCGCCGCCCATGAGTCTCCCAGTCGCGGCCGGCTGCGACAGAGCCTGGATTCGAACCAGGATCTCTAGTGGCACAGCTAGCACTGTGATGCAGTGCCTTAGACCACTGCGCCACTCAGGAGGACAGGTCTATGGTATGCCTATGGTATGTCTATGGTATGTCTATGGTATGCCTATAGGAATGTCCAAGGGTACCCAAATATTTACAATGTCCAAGGGAGATGCACCCAAATAATGACAATGTCCAAGGGAGATGCACCCAAATAATTACAATGTCCAAGGGAGATGGACCCAAATAATTACAATGTCCAATGGAGATGTACCAAAATAATTACAATGTCCAAGGGAGATGCACCCAAAGATTTAGAATGTCCAAGGGAGATGCACCCAAAGATTTAAGAATGTCCAAGGGAGATGTACCCAAAGATTTAGAATGTCCAAGGGAGATGCACACCAAGATTTAAGAATGTCCAAGGGAAGATGTACCCAAAGATTTAAGAATGTCCAAGGGAGATGCACCCAAAGATTTAAGAATGTCCAAGGGAGATGCACCCAAAGATTTAGAATGTCCAAGGGAGATGCACCCAAAGATTTAGAATGTCCAAGGGAGATGTACCCAAAGATTTAAGAATGTCCAAGGGAGATGCACCCAAAGATTTAAGAATGTCCAAGGGAGATGCACCCAAAGATTTAGAATGTCCAAGGGAGATGCACCCAAAGATTTAGAATGTCCAAGGGAGATGCACCCAAAGATTTAAGAATGTCCAAGGGAGATGAATCATTGTAATTCTGTGGGTCTACAGAGGGGTCTGGAATGATTGGATCCCCTGATAAAGATGAACAAATAAGACTGTAGAAAATAAATAATACAAATATTATATCCTCACATTTTATAGAAATGTATTTTACTTTATACTTACACTCTTCGAAAAAAGGGTTCCAAAAGGGTTATAAAAGGGTTCTTCAGCTGTCCCCAAAGGAGAACCCTTTTTGGTTCCGGGTAGAACTCTTTTGGGTTCCTCTGTGGAAAGGGTTCTACATGGAACTCAAAAGGGTTCTACCTAGAACCAAAAAGGTTCTCCTATGGGGACAGCCAAAAAACCCTGTTAGGTTCTAGATAGCACTTTTTTTCTTCTAAGAGTGTATACAATTGCTCAGAGAAAGAGATTTTGTTCAACAAGTAATAAAAAATAAAAAATTAAAGATAAAGGTCAGAATTATCATTATCCTCTTTCTAAAATGTTTTTTTATGAGTTGGAGAACACATTGGGAGGGATCTTAGACCATTCCTCCATACAGAATCTATCCATATGCTTTATAGCCTACGCTAATGGACTGCCCTGTTCAATTCAAACCACAGGTTTTCAATGGGGTTCAAGTCCGGAGACTGAGACGGCCGTTGCAAAATGTTGATTTTGTGGTCAATTTACC